TACACTGTGACTGCATCCCAGACCATGTGTCTGTTGATTTTACACTGTAACTGCATCCCAGACCATGTGTCTGTTGACTATACACTGTGACTGCATCCCAGACCATGTGTCTGTTGACTATACTCTGTGACTGCATCCCAGACCATGTGTATGTTGATTATACACTGTGACTAAACCATGTGTCTGTTGATTTTATACTGTGACTGCATCCCAAACCATGTGTCTGTTGACTATACACTGTGAGTTCATCCCAGACCATGTGTCTGTTGACTATACACTGTGAGTTTATCCAAGACCATGTGTCTGTTGACTGTACACTGTGAGTGCATCCCAGACAATGTGTCTGTCAACTATACACTGTGACTGCATCCCAGACCATGTGTCTGTTGATTATACACTGTGAGTGCATCCCAGACCATGTGTGTTTTGACTATACTCTGTGACGGCATCGCAGACAATGTAACTGTTTATTATACACTGTGACTGCATCCCATACCATGTGTCTGTTGATATTACACTGTAAGTGCATCCCAGACCATGTGTCTGTTGATATTACCCTGGGAATGAATCCGAGACCATGTGTCTGTCAGCTATACACTGTGACTGCATCCCAAACCATGTGACTGTTGACTATACACTGTGACTGCATCCCAGACCATATGACTGTTGATTATACACTGTGACTGCATCCCAGACCATGTGCCTGTTGACTATACACTGTGACTGCATCCCAGACAATGTGTCTGTTGATTATACACTGTGACTAAACCATGTGTCTGTTGATTATACACTGCGACTAAACAATGTGTCAGTTGATTATGCACTGTGAGTTCATCCCAGACCATGTGTCTGTTGACTATACACTGTGAGTTCATCCCAGACCATGTGTCTGTTGACTATACACTGTGACTGCATCCCAGACCATGTGTCTGTTGACTATACACTGTGACTGCATCCCAGACCATGTGTCTGTTGACTATACACTGTGACTGCATCCCAGACCATGTGCCTGTTGACTATACACTGTGACTGCATCCCAGACCATGTGTCTGTTGATTATACACTGTGAGTGCATCCCAGACCATGTGTCTGTTGATTATATATACACTGTAACTGCATCCAGACAATGTGTCTGTTGATTATACACTGTGACTAGACCATGTGTCTGTTGATTATACACTGCGACTAAACAATGTGTCAGTTGATTATGCACTGTGAGTTCATCCCAGACCATGTGTCTGTTGACTATACACTGTGAGTTCATCCCAGACCATGTGTCTGTTGACTATACACTGTGACTGCATCCCAGACCATGTGTCTGTTGACTATACACTGTGACTGCATCCCAGACCATGTGCCTGTTGACTATACACTGTGACTGCATCCCAGACCATGTGTCTGTTGATTATACACTGTGAGTGCTTCCCAGACCATGTGTGTTTTGACTATACTCTGTGACTGCATCCCAGACCTTGTGTCTGTTGATTAAACACTGTGACTGCATCCCAGACAATGTAACTGTTTATTATACACTGTGACTGCATCCCAGACCATGTGTCTGTTGATTTTACACTGTAACTGCATCTAGACAATATGACTGTTGATTTTACGCTGTGAGTGCATCTCAGACCATGTGTCTGTCAACTATACACTGTGACTGCATCCCAAACCATGTGACTGTTGATTATACACTGTAACTGCATCCAGACAATGTGTCTGTTGATTTTACACTGTGACTGCATCCCAGACCATGTGTATGTTGACTATACACTGTGAGTGCATCCCAGACCATGTGTTTGTTGACTATACACTGTGACTGCATCCCAGACCATGTGCCTGTTGACTATACACTGTGACTGCATCCCAGACCATGTGTCTGTTGATTATACACTGTGAGTGCTTCCCAGACCATGTGTGTTTTGACTATACTCTGTGACTGCATCCCAGACCTTGTGTCTGTTGATTAAACACTGTGACGGCATCCCAGACAATGTAACTGTTTATTATACACTGTGACTGCATCCCAGACCATGTGTCTGTTGATTTTACACTGTAACTGCATCTAGACAATATGACTGTTGATTTTACGCTGTGAGTGCATCTCAGACCATGTGTCTGTCAACTATACACTGTGACTGCATCCCAAACCATGTGACTGTTGATTATACACTGTAACTGCATCCAGACAATGTGTCTGTTGATTTTACACTGTGACTGCATCCCAGACCATGTGTATGTTGACTATACACTGTGAGTGCATCCCAGACCATGTGTTTGTTGACTATACACTGTGACTGCATCACAGACCATGTGTTTGTTGATTTTACACTGTGACTGCATCCCAGACCATGTGCCTGTTGACTATACACTGTGAGTGCATCCCAGACCATGTGTCTGTTGATTTTACACTGTGACTGCATCCCAGACCATGTGTCTGTTTACTATACACTGTGACTGCATCCCAGACCATGTGCCTGTTGACTATACACTGTGAGTGCATCCCAGACCATGTGTCTGTTGATTTTACACTGTGACTGCATCCCAGACCATGTGTCTGTTTACTATACTCTGTGACTGCATCCCAGACCATGTGTCTGTTGATTATGCACTGTGACTGTTGTTTTACACTGACTGCATCCCAGACCATGTATGCATTGAATAGATGAAAAAGTTGCTTCGTTCAGGTCATGGGGTACCTCATTCAGATCATGGAGTGCTGATGTCATTACACAGGGTACTTTTTTCAGATCATAGGGTGCTTCTGTCAGGTCAAAGGGTGCTGCTGTCGGTTCATGGGATACTTTAGTCAGGTAATGGGGTACATCATTCAGGACATGGGGTGCTGTTGTTGGTTCATGGATACTTCAGTCAGGTCATGGGGGTACTGTTGTCAGTACATGGGGTGCTTCTGTAATGTACTTTATTCAGATCATGGGGTGCTGTTGATGGTTCATGGGCACTTCATTCAGATCATAGGGTACTCCAGTCAGTCAGGTCATGGGGTGTATTTGTTGGTTCATGTGTACTTCATTCGGGTCATTGTGAATGTCATTCAGGTCATGGGGTGCTTCAGGTCATAGGGTGCTCAGCCCAGTTGTTGGAACATGGGTTGCTTCATGCAGGTCATGGGGTACCTCATTCAGGTCATGGTGTGCTGCTGTCGGTACATGGGGTGCTGTTGTAACTTGATACTGGCAACAGTTGATGTTGAAGTACAGTAATGTTTAGTACTGACAACAGCTGATGTTGAAGTACAGTAATGGTTAGTTCTGGGAACAGCTGATGTTGAAGTACAGTAATGATCAGTACTGGCAACAGCTGATGTTGAAGTGCAGTAATTGTCAGTACTGGGAACAGTTGATGTTGAAGTACAGTAATGGTTAGTTCTGGAAACAGCTGATGTTGAAGTACAGTAATGATCAGTACTGGCAACAGCTGATGTTGAAGTGCAGTAATTGTCAGTACTGGGAACAGTTGATGTTGAAGTACAGTAATGGTTAGTTCTGGAAACAGCTGATGTTGAAGTACAGTAATTGTCAGTATTGGGAACAGCTAGTGTTGAAGTGCAGTAATTGTCAGTACTGGGAACAGTTGATGTTGAAGTACAGTAATGTTAGTACTGGCAACAGTTGATGTTGAAGTACAGTAATGGTTAGTACTGGCAACAGCTGATGTTGAAGTACAGTAATGGTTAGTTCTGGAAACAGCTGATGTTGAAGTTCAGTAATGATCAGTACTGGAAACAGCTGATGTTGAAGTGCAGTAGTGGTTAGTTCTGGAAAGAGCTGATGTTGAAGTACAGTAATGGTTAGTACTGGGGACAGCTGATGTTGAAGTGCAGTAGTGGTTAGTTCCAGTAAGAGCTGTTAGTACAGTAATGGTTAGGGCAACAGCTGATGTTGAAGTGCAGTAGTGGTTAGTTCTGGAAAGAGCTGACGTTGAAGTACAGTAATGGTTAGTGCTGGGTACAGCTGACAACAGCTGATGATGAGCTGATGTTGAAGCAGTAATGGTTAGTCCTGGCAACAGCTGATGTTGAAGTACAGTAATGGTTAGTACTGGCAACAGTTGATGTTGAAGTACAGTAATGGTTAGTACTGGCAACAGCTGATGCTGAAGTGCAGTAATGGTTAGTCCTGGCAACAGCTGATGTTGAAGTACAGTAATGGTTAGTACTGGCAACAGCTGATGTTGAAGTACAGTAATGATTAGAACAGTTGATGTTGAAGTACAGTAATGTTAGTACTGGCAACAGCTGATGTTGAAGTACAGTAATGTTAGTACTGGCAACAGCTGATGTTGAAGTGCAGTAATAGTTAGTACTGGGAACAGCTGATGTTGAAGTACAGTAATGGTTAGTTCTAGAAACAGCTGATGTTGAAGTACAGTAATGATCAGTACTGGCAACAGCTGATGTTGAAGTACAGTAATGTTAGTACTGGCAACAGCTAGTGTTGAAGTACAGTAATGTTAGTACTGGCAACAGCTGATGTTGAAGTACAGCAATGATTAGAACAGTTGATGTTCTACCTTTACATGAGGTACTATGAGGGGTTTTGGGTTTGTTCAAGGAATCGGGTAACTGTCTTCTGCAATAAGTGTGAAACTGTCAGTTATTACAGTATATCAGGTACAAGAGTATAACTATGTGTATGTTCTCTCAAAGGTATCTCTTTGAATAATTTGGAGAATTATGAGATTGTTACTTTAAATATTCAATGAGTGAGAGTGAGAAACTGAAACTCCATTTACTTTGTAAAATAAGAGATCCCGTGAAAATTCCATGGCTCCGAGAATACAAGTCGGTACTATTGAAGTGAAGGAACCAATGTGGGATGTGGCCTTTGTACATGATTGTTAAGATGTCATTAACAGCTTGTTCTCTGAAGCCATGTACAAGCCAAGCCAGTGCTGTGGTGTCACTATAGTTAGTAACTGAGAGGTGCTGGACTAACACCCTAGTTTTATTTCTTGTTTATGTATGTTTTATTTTGTTTCAGTGCGGCTCTATCAAGTGGTTTGAATGAAGGACTGTCGGCTATCAGCAATCCCAATCTGAACACGCTTGAACCAGCATCAATATCGATATGAGCAACAGGACCTGAATATTGAGATTAAATCAGTCAACAGCAGGAGGGAACGCTAGGAACTATGTTTGTATCAATGATTTAATAAGCAGTGTGTATGTGTGCCATGTCCAAGTGGGGGACCAGGAGTTCTTTTCCCCCCACAGGGATATCCACAAGAGATTCAATTGGATGTTTATACCAGGACGGCAGTTATCACTAAAGGCTCACTGTGGCTATTGTAGCAAGCATGGTGTGTTTAACTTTACAGCTGATCCTCTGCTGGTTTCTACAGGTGCTCTCAGGTAGGTGTTTTGCATATTTTCTTACCCCTGTCAGTTAGCCAAACATTCTTTCTTGATTATATTTCAAAATATCTTTGCATCATGCATAGAGTACTAAAAGTAATAGTTTTGTTTCAGTCCCTCAATCCTAAACTTAAATAAAAGCCAGATTGCTTTTTCCTTATAGTAGAATAAATGTAATAAAACCCTTTCTGTCAAGAAGTTCATTCACTGCTCAGCCTTGATGTATGTGTACACATATTCTAGTAAGATTATTTTGAATTTTGAATAACTAAATATACTGCATGATATTCCAGGGCAACTGATTGACAAATTTTATTGCTTTTACACTTCCATAAACAGTGCAAACAGATAGGCCATGCCCAGGGACAGAATAATGTGGCTTGATTGGTTGACAATAGAATGGGCAGGGCTTGCATTGCATTATTGATGTCATTGTTGAGTGGTCATTGTTGTCTGCCATCTCCAATGTTTAGGGATGATTAAAAGGGCAGATGTTATTTGATGTATCTGATTTACAATAATTGTCAAAGCCATTTTTCATTTTTTCATTTGTAAACATAAAACTAAAGCATACCCTTTGCATAAATTTGTAAGATTTACAGTATGCACACACCATTTATTATGTTTATGCTTCCATCAACACAAGGAATATTGATGTGAGATTTTAAACTGAAATTTGACTCGGTGAAAAGTTATTCAATCTGAATATGAAGTTATGTAGTTAGAGAGCTATGATGATTTTGCAATGTTTTTCAATTTGGAACATTTATCCATGATATTCAACGGGTCTGACTATAGCTGACACACACATTTATCCACGATATTCAACTAGTCTGACTATAGCACACACACACATTTATCCATGATATTCAACTACTGTAAACGTATTATATTTCGCGCAGGTTTTATTTTCGCGCTTTTGCGCTAAACATTTTTGCGCGAAAATTTATACACCGCGAATAAACCTGTCATTCATTCAGTCCAGCCACGCTTGCCCCCTGAGTTGTTACCATAACACATCAAGTTTGAAGACAGAAATCTACGGGAATCTTAAAATGACGACTGATAGTAGCATAAAGAATCTTACTTAACTGTCGCTGTTATGGATTTCCCCAAACATAATTAAATAATGAGCCGAAAATTAGCAGCAATGTGTGTTGTGGCGCCATGGAAATTGGTCACATGACAGATGGTTTGATACAAAACAGATTACCATGAAACGACTTCGGAAAGAAATAATACAGCAGTATTTTATTTATTCATTAAGATTTTTTTACCAGTACATCATGAAGCGAATAGTCACTTAACACTCAATCATCTCATTCACAACAACCCGGCTTGTTTGAAATCACAAAGAGCTTCATATACAGTAGAAGTTAATTCGTCAGATCGTCAGAATTCGGAACATAAGACTGATGTGTTTTTCATCTCTTCCGTGAGTAAACGGATTACTGTGTACTAGTATATCGCACAGATAGGGATTTCCTGTGAGTAAGCAATAAACTCCGCCTGACAGGTTAAGCCACTCTGTTTGTTTTCACTGCTATTAGTGGCGGCCAAAGAGACAGCTGGCAGTTCCGGCAATTACTGATTGCGCGAATAATTGACCGCGCGATGTAGTCTAAACTGTCAATTCCGCGAAAATTGGACCACGCGAAAATAAGTACGTTTACAGTAGTCTGACTATAGCAGACACACACATTTATCCATGATATTCAACTAGTCTGACTATGGCAGACACACACATTTATCCATGATATTCAACTAGTCTGACTATAGCAGACACACATTTATCCACGATATTCAACTAGTCTGACTATAGCAGACACACACATTTATCCACGATATTCAGCTAGTCTGACTAAAGCAGACACACACATTTATCCACGATATTCAACTAGTCTGACTATAGCAGACACACACATTTATCCACGATATTCAACTAGTCTGACTATAGCAGACACACACATTTATCCATGATATTCAACTAGTCTGACTATAGCAGACACACACATTTATCCATGATATTCAACTGGTCTGACTATAGCAGACACACACATTTATCTATGATATTGTGCAGCACACACATTTACCAATGTTGTTCAACCAGTCAGGTTGCAGCACACACATTTACAATATGTTTTTATGCATAGATATATGCAGTTTCCTTCTGGAAGTAAGCACTATTATGGAAGTATTTCTATTATGGTTTCCAGTCAGCACAAGTGACATTACACTCATGAAATCTTCAGGGAAATGTAAAAAGCATTACTGTTTGGAAATATTGTAGGATTTATGCAAACGTACCCTACTCCTACGAGAAATGGAATGATTTCCATCTTGTATTTGCAACTTGCCTGTGTGCACAGTGTGTGCACAGTGATGAAATATTTTCCCAACTTCTGTATTCAGAATAATGTTATATATTCCCATCTTCTGTGTGAAATATACTGAGAGATATCCTCATCTTCTGTATGAAGAATTATGAAATATATTCTCATCTTCTGTATGAAGAATAATGATATATATATATACTCTCATGTTCTGTATGCCTAACAATGAAATATATCGAGTTGATGATCATACCTCGAGACACAATCCCTTACACATCACCCAGCGTGTGATGATAGTTTCTCGTCATGATTTTTATCAGTCTTGCATGCCTATTTTCTGCTTAATGTAGCCTGCCAGCCACCGAGTCGAGAGAGACACACGCACACACGCACGCACTGCGACTCATCCACCCACAGCGCTCGGAGGAGCAACCACCTCCGAGGCGACCCGAGCCTTTTTCCCAACCCACCCCATGCTCACTTAAAAGTTAATATTTCAGAAACTATTTGACCGATTTTCATCAAATTTTGCTTGCACCTCAGTCGGGATTAGGGACTTATCCAAGGCTTATTTTTTCAAATTAAGCCTTTGATAAGGAGCTGGTCCCGTTCCACCATTGTGTATACTACTCCTTGGCATGAAGATGGAACTTTGATAACCTGACTGTCAGGACGATTTTTCAAGATGTATTAATCAAGATGATTTCAGATTTCTGTGGACTTGTTTAATCTACATTTGCTGAACATCCATACCTCAGTTGTTGTTCAGTAGATGTTTAGGTGAATAATTCATAGTCTAAAGTGTAAGACTCTCCCTCATAGCTCTCTCCCAACACTCAGAGGAACTCATCCATTGAGCTATGTGAAGCATGATATAAACTTGTGCTACAATCATGTTAACATATTATGAGCTCAGCGTCGGAATGTTTATGCTTTATAATAAATCAATATGGCCACAAATGTAATCTTTTTTTTGTTCTATATGTTCTGTAGAAATTTAAAACCTGTCTCTACCAGGAGTGACTATCAAGCTGCTTCCATTGGTTGTATGCCACGAGTAGCATAAACAACCAAACACAATAGTTATAAATGCAGAGAACAAACTGACTAATTGAAGGATGATGTGATATATCATTGCACATTGTTTGTCATGCAATTAATGTACTTAATATGTCATCTGACAACCTTTAGGATCATTCCCTCCCCATTATAGAGTGGAATGTTAGGTCTTATGTAGGGGGATGCTAGGTTCCTTATATTAGTGTTAGGTCGGGTTGAGGGAAAAGTAGTAGTAGGAAAAGAAGTAGGATTTAGCTTATAGATTTTGGGTAATTGTCGGTTAAAACAGGGTTGGTTTTGAGTGGTTTTCAGAAGAAGTTTAAAGGTTTCATGTAGCTGACTTGTTAATAAGCTATGTGAGCGAGAGAATTGTGTCATTTATAAGTTGTTAAATTTTTGTTTGTATGTTTCTACCTAATTTTTTTGTAATGAACTATTATCATTGTTCATTTTGTCTCTGTTATTTCCCAACATGCTTTATGCCTGATTCATGAACTGGTTACTGAGTTTTGAGTAGAGAACAAGTTAACCCGAATGCACACCTATAAAAGAGAAGTATACAATGCAAAGTCCAAGAAAGGTTGATTCAATATCATGTTCCTACATACTACATCAGCTTAACTCAGCTGTCACTGGGCAACAGTAGTTTAGTGAAAACCATGCATATTACAGTAGCAAGCATGCATACTGTCTAGGCATGCATGCATGTTGTTTGTAGCCAGCATGCATGCTGTTTGTAGCATAGCATGCATACTGTTTAGGCATGCATGTTGTTTGTAGCCAGCATGCATGCTATTTGTACCAATCATGCATACTGCTTAGGCATGCATGCATGTTGTTTGTAGCAAGCATGCATGCTGTTTAGGCAGGTATGCTGTTTGCAAGCATGCCCAAGAAAGGTTGATTGAATATCATGTTCCTACATACTACATCACCTTAACTCAGCTGTCACTGGGCGACAGTAGTTTAGTGAAAACCATGCAGATTACAGTAGCAAGCATGCATACTGTCTAGGCATGCATGCATGCATGCATGCATGCATGCTGTTTGTAGCAAGCATGCATCTTGTTTGTAGCAAGCATGCATACTGTCTAGGCATGCATGCATGTTTGTAGCCAGCATGCATGCTATTTGTAGCAAGCATGCATACTGTTTAGGCATGCATGCATGTTGTTTGTAGTAAGCATGCAAGCTGTTTAGGCAGGTATGCTGTTTGCAAGCATGCCCAAGAAAGGTTGATTGAATATCATGTTCCTACATACTACATCAGCTTAACTCAGCTGTCACTGGGCGACAGTAGTTTAGTGAAAACCATGCATATTACAGTAGCAAGCATGCATACTGTCTAGGCATGCATGCATGTTGTTTGTAGCCAGCATGCATGTTGTTTGTAGCAAGCATGCATACTGTCTAGGCATGCATGCATGTTTGTAGCCAGCATGCATGCTGTTTGTAGCAAGCATGCATACTGTTTAGGCATGCATGCATGTTGTTTGTAGCCAGCATGCATGCTGTTTGTAGCAAGCATGCATACTGTTTAGGCATGCATGCATGTTGTTTGTAGTAAGCATGCAAGCTGTTTAGGCAGGTATGCTGTTTGCAAGC